TTATTTATTTATACAAGCACTGGGTACAGGAGTCAGAATGCAGGAGGGTGAGAGAATTCACCAGAGCCAGAGTGGGGAACAGAACAGGCAGACTGACGAAATACGCTGCTGAGGGGAGCAGCAGGCGTGGCAGGAGAGATCTGCATGCCATGTGGGACCCTCGCTGGAGGTCAGGGATGGAACCGGCGCTGCAGAGGCTGCTGGCAGCTTCGCAGCCCAGCGCTCAACCGCTGCGCCACCAGAGGAGGCCCCCAAATGAGTTTTTAAAGCTGTGTCTTTCAATGAATTTGTCTTTTATGCCTGTATTAGTGAATTTGATTGGCATAAAGTATTAAAATCCTCTTAATATTTTTCTCATAAATGTAGCATCTATATTAATGATCTTTGTTTCATTCCAGATGTTATCTCTGTTATTAGAAATGTGTGTTATCTTTTTTTTCCTGTAGTAAGTCTACTATCGTTTTATAAATGTTGAAGAAATTTCAAAGAACTAGCTTTTATTTTGTTAATTTTTCTCTTACATTTCTATTTTGTTGATTTCTGCTTTTACCTTTGTTACTTTCTTCCTTGTCTTTTGTTTTTACCTTTCTTTAGGTGAATTTTAGATATTTCTTCTTTTTTTTTTTTTTAAAGATTTATTTATTTATACAAGCACTGGGTACAGTCAGAAGTGCAGGAGGGTGAGAGAATTCACCAGAGCCAGAGTGGGGAACAGAACAGGCAGACTGACGAAATACACTGCTGAGGGGAGCAGCAGGCATGGCAGGAGAGGTCTGCATGCCATGTGGGACCCTCGCCCGGCAGCTGGGCATTGAACCAGCGCTGCGGGTATCAAATCGGTGCTGCAGAGGCTGCGGGCAGCTCGCAGCCCAGCGCTCAACTGCTGCGCCACCAGGGGAGGTCCTATTTCTTCTTTTACAACTGACATTAAAGCTCTTACTTTTCATGTGAGCATTGCTTAGCTATATATCACAAGTTGTAATGTGCTGTACTTTTATTATCATTCAGTTAGAAATAATTTCCTTATGAAATTTTTTCTATGACAAAAGATTACTTAGAAACATTTGATTTTGAAATACTTGGGGCTTTCTTTAAAATCTTATTGCTATTGTTTTCCAATTTAATTCTGTTTTCATTGGAAGCTATTTTTGTCTGATTTCAGATTTCAAACCTTTTTGAGATTTCCTTTATAGCCCAGAATGTCATAAATTTGTGAATGAACTATGAGCACTTCAATACTATTCTGCAGATGTTGGGTAGAGAGATCTAAAATTATCAGGCTAAAATAGTTGATAGCTGTTTTAGCAATTATCTGTTGCTATGTAACAAATTGCCTTCACATTTGGCTGTAGTTAGATAATCTGTATCTTATTGTGGGGGAATATATATTTTAATATATAAAATGCATCATGATTTGATGCTGATATTTTTGTTTCTAATTTGTGTGTTTTGCATCTTGTTTTTCTCCCATATTGAATAACTGAATGATATCAACATTATAACTCCTTTGGTTATTGTACCTCAAAAACAATAATCTGAGAATAAAAATAGCAAACACGACCACCAACAGTATGGTTATTAAAAATCTTTTTTTCCAATGATTTTGTCATTATATTCCACTAGAGACATAGAGTCAAATACTGCATGCAGCCAAGTGTACATGCAGTTGGTTCATTTATTTCATTTAGTTTTATTTTTTAGAGATTTATTTTATTTTTTTATTTATGCATACAAGAGCTAGGGTGTACGCCAGAGGTGTGGGGGAGGGGCGGGGGGATGCTGGGAGAGGTGAGAGGATTCACCAGAGACACAGAGGAGAGCAGAACAGGCAGTTCTACTAAAATATACTGCTGAGGGGAGAAGCAGGTGAAACAGGAGGAGAGTTCTGTGCCATGTGGGTCTGCTGCCTGGCCAGAGATCAAACTCATGCTGCAGCAGCTGGCAATAGCTTGATGGTCCAGAGACTAGAACTCTTGCTTTAGTTTTTGTGTTCAAAATAGTTTGTTTATGTTTTATAATCATGTAAAATAGTTTAATGATTCCAAAATCAGTTCTATAAAATTAAGTACATTCAGAGACATTATTTCTCATCCTGGCCACATTTTTCCTTTTACATTTGAAATTATAAGCAAGAAAAGAACACACACACACACACACACACTCCTCGTACTTTATTTTAGATTAATAGTAGCACACTGCACAAACTTTTATCTATCCTGCTTTATTCTCTTAACAATATGTCTTGGAGAGCACCATATAACAGTTGGTAAAACTATCTATTTTTTCTTTTAAAGAATGTCATTACACTTCCTTTTGTGAATGCACCATAGTTTAGATAACTAACCTCCTATTGGTTACTATTTGGTCTAATTCCAAAAGACTTGTTATTAAAATCTTATAATGAAAGCTCTTATTTATATACTCTTTTCATACCATTGCCTTTGTATTTTTTGTATAGATTTTGAGAAATGACATTAGTCAGTAAAAGGAAAGTCCATATGTAATTTTGCTATATATATATTTCCAAATTTTCCTCTATTGAAGGTGTAAAATTTTGTATTACCACCTGTAAGTATATGGGCATGTCTAGCACTTCAGCTTCACAGGGTATGCTGTCAATTGTTTGTGTTTTTACAGTTTTATATTTGAGAAATGGTATTTCTACACAGCTGTAATTTGCACTTACTTTATCATGAATTATGTTGAGCATCTTTCCATATGATTAAGAGACATTTGTACTTCTTTTTTATAAACTGACAGCACATATCTTCAGTCCTGTTGGCCACGGAGTTTTGTTGACTTTTAATTTAAACCAGCTTGAACCAGTCACTTATCAGGGAGTCACACAGGCTGTGCTTCTAAGCATTGAGGATACAGAATGAACAACATAGATGAAAATCTCTGCTCTCCTGGAGCTTACAGTCTAGTAAGGGAATGAGGGATTTGGCCTATGAAATTGCCTCACATCCTCCTCTTTGATTTAACTATTCCCATTCAGATCCAGAATTCATATTGCTTGTGCCCACAGGGCATCTGAATCCTGAGTATATGGATTTGCCATTTGAAAGCAAATCCCACAAGAAAATGACTTGTATTTACTTCAACTCTCTCAATATGGATATTGTATTTAACCTAGTGTATTTCTTAGTGTCCAACTCTTCAAGAAGAGTTGCTGTACAAGAACAGTTGAGCAACTGAAGTAGCTTACAAGCTGGATGGACTTGCACAAATTGTTTCATCATTGTGAATCCACATTTCACTATCTGCAAAATGAGGATAATCATACTTGTCAGTATGAAGAGGTTGAAATAAATGACACATCCGATTTAATTATCAAAAATTTATTTTTAGTGTGAACATTCAAAAATTATTATTTTAAAAGAATATTTTATTAGAGAAAATGGCAGCTAAGAGATATGCTGGATTAAAAATTCCTCCAGAAAAGTACTGTGCATTAAATTTTGCCTTAAGATGTTTTTCCATGCTGGTTAAATACACCTGCTAGAAGTGTACCATGTCTTCATAAATATTTTTTAGTTTTTTGCCTTCCACAATTAGAGCTATCAATGTTCAGTCTCCAGTCTAATCATGCATTCAGTTTTTCTCACTTTATGGCAGTACTGAACTATTTGTATTTCCTTGAAAATCTCATGTGTCTTTATACTTTCCTTTAAATGCCAATTAAAACATTTCTTTCTGTACAAATTTTCTCCCTTCTCTTCCCCTCCCCTGAGATAAAGCTCAATTATCTATGTTAGGAAGTTTTTCTGAATGTCTTACCTCTACTCTCTTAGAATTAAATATCTCTTCTTTTTAGTTTCTGGACACTGTGTATGTTTCTATCACCACAATGAAAATTTCACACCATATTTGGTTTATATACCTGTTTCTTCACCTGGAAATTAAAACTGGAGAAAAAATGATGTTGTTTATTGTGATGTCTAATGAGCACTTTGCCAGTAGTTGCTTCTCCAAAAATTTTATTAGCAATTTCCACTTAGACCTCACTTTTTAAAAGTTAATAGACAGTTGTCTGATGTGATTTCAACAATTCTTAGAAAAATCTTTTTTGTACTGTACTAGCATCCAAATTAATACATCAATAATAAGCCTTTTCTGCCTCCTTATTGGTGCTTGAAATGTCTGCAACAAATAGTAAACCCTCTTTTCTCATAATTGGTGATAGACTCAATGCACGTAAGCTTGGGAGACGTCATGCTTTGATTTAAATATATGGATTAGTAAGAGACATTCTGGACCTAAAGTAGGGGGGGTGATCAAGTTCAAATTTGCTCATGTTGGAGCAAATTTTTCTGAGACTTTGCTAGCTTACCATAATTTATGTTTACATGGGCAACTGTATTTTTTTTTGGGGGGGGGTCCTTGAGCCTGGGAAAGGGCATGGGGCAAACTTTGTAAGCATATGCTAGGTTTCTGGTAGTCCTGTAGAAGTAAGTGAAGAAACCTTATACAGTTTTTAACTTTTATATAAACTAACTCAGACCCAAGCTACAAGATTGGAATTTTGGTTGTTGGTGTTTTTTTTTTTTTTTTTAAAGTACCCCGCCTGTAAAATTGCATCAGAATTCCCTCCTCCCCTATCCCCACCCCCACCGGCCGTGTTTGTATTTTGGGTTGGTTTACACTTGCACACATTCAATTTTCAGTTTTTCCCCTTTACAGTCCTCTACTCCTCACCTCCAGGACCCTTCCCTCCCTTTTAAAAAATAAATCGCTGACAAGTGTGAATCTCGTGAAGACTTTATTTTGTGTTGTGTGTATCCTGTACAGTAAGGTTGGTCCTTCGTAACAGCAGATGAAATGATTACCTTTTTTAAAGCGCCCACTCTCCCTCCGCCCTTGTCCTTGGCATGTTTTGTATTAGCGATTATATAGGCAACTGTATTTAAAAAAGGCCTGAAGAATCCGAAAATAATGTGGTTGTAACTAGAAGTTAGCAGTGCTAATGTATATTTCTTTCTTTACCCCATGTCTTTCAGAATGCCTAAGTATACAATCGAATGGTACCACTGCAGCACATAAACTGTCAGAGCAGCAGGTGAACAACTGCACTTTGGGTAATGTTCCTCTTTTAATGATAATTCTAATAAGAGAGTGTTTGATACTTATATAATTTTTATATTTTAACATCTTGAATTGTCTTACATGTGTTTATGGAATGTTATCTAAAATTATCTAAATAATAGTGCTTTTGCTTAAGGGTGTGGGTACAATTTTTATGCTGAAATTATTTCTGTGCTTATTTAGTACTGTTTTGGGATGCAATCATTAAACAAACCATGGCATATCCCAATTTTTTTTCATTTACAACATCAGAGAACTTTTGGAAAATAGGTCTTAGGAAATTCTATTCTTTCCCAAATGTTTGTTTGCCTCTGTTACTTTTTTTTTTTACATTTTGGAAAAATATATTTTTACATATAAGATACAGAACAAGTATGCTTGTCATATGCCTTACATTGAGCACTTCATTGAAAATTCCAGTGTTTCAAAATACATTCTTGGACTTAGTAAATATCCTTTCTAATTACACCCAAATTTTCAACATCTAATGCTAGTTTATCTACAGAATAAAAATAAGTAAAATAATGCTGTATACTATCAATCTTGGGGAGGGGGCAATGCATGTGTTGAATGGTGATACCCCCCAAAGATCTATCTACCCAGAATCTATGAATGTGACTGTATTTGGAAAAAGAGTCTTTGAAGATGTAATTAAGTGAAGGCCTTTGAGATGAGATTATCCTGGATTAGAGTGGGTGCTACTTCAATGGCAAGTGTCTGTGGAAGAGTAAAGAAAAGAAGAGGACTCAGGGGAGAAGGCAATCCATAGTGGAGGTAGAGACTGGAAAGATACATCCACAAATCAAGGACAAAGTTTGTTGGCAGCCACCAAAAACTGGAAGAAACAAGGAAGGATTCTTGCCTTTGGAAGAAACACAGGTCTGCTGACAGCCTGGTTTCAGACTCTGATTTCTAGAAGGAAGAGAATAAATTTCTGTTGTATAAGTGACCAAATTTGTGGGGCTTACATATTAAAACAGCCCTAGAAAAATATGATTAAGTTATTTTTCTACTTACAAATATGTTTAAAAAAACACAATTCATATTTGTTTCAGTCTCTATATTTGTACATTGTGAAAGTTAAATTAGACTGATGATAGCAACATAAAATGATTACCTGTCTAACTTTAAAGAAAGTTGATTTCATATGAGTAAATTAAAGAAAGAAATAACAGGATAATTGATTTGAAGCTTTAAATTTTTGTTGTGATGCTTCATTGAATACACATCATCAAAAAAGACTGAATAAGAAAGATACTTTCTATTTTCATTGAAAACATGATACTTGATATGAAAGTAGAATTCTATAGCAACTAGCTATGTGACTCAAGATAATAAAACTAAAGGAGCCATGTATTAGCAACTAAGTAAGTTTGAGGATTTAAAAATATTTTAAAAATAAACAGAAGACTATTTATGAAAGCAAGGATATTTTTGCCTTATAAAAGCAATCATTTTTGTACACTTAAGAATACACTTTAATTTGTGGGTTTTATCTTTGGAATGAGAAGTTGTAGAAATAATTTGCTGATTTTCCACCTCAGGGTGTTCTTTGGAAGATGATGGATTTTGCTTGATTGTAGGAGAATTGGGTATCTGATTATGCAGGCAGATTTCTCCAGGCTCTTCCACTCAAAGTTTACCTTTATTGAAAATAAGGTCTCTTCCACACTCCAGCCAGGCACTCAAAATGCTTGAAGACTTCTTAATTCAATACCAGGCTCTCCTAACACAATCCTACAGTATCTGGACACTGATTTAATTATATCTGGTACAAATTAATGTGGCCAAATTGCCAGTATTTTCAGATGAGATGACTGAAGTGAATATCTATAGAAATTGCAATGATTAAACAGTTCAGATAAGGAAATCATTTGCTTTGTCTCTAAAGATAACAATACAGTGCATATGAAGTAAAACCCAAAGGAATGAAGAAAAATTTTTAAATATTCTTTTAAAAGGCTCTAAGATGAGTTCCTTGCACTTTCCTTTAACAACAACTTATGCCTTAAAAATGGCAGCAGATCTCAAGGCTGCAGAGGCCAAAATGCCCACATGAGAAAGTCCTACTTGCTGGAGTAGCCAGTGTGGATCATGGCTGCTGCCTTCTGATCACTGTCAGATACCTTAGTTGGGAAGGGGGCAGAGATCATTGTAGTTTCTTATTCAGTAGATCCTACTAGATGCCCTCAATACTTGCCACACTTTCACCTAACATAAGAAGGAAAGAGGAAGAAAAGAAGGAAAAAAGGGAGGGAGGGGAGGAGGAGGGAAAATAGGAAGGTAAGAAGGAAAGGATTTGATAGTTATGGTAAAAATAATATAGGATATTCATTCACTTTGAGGGAGAACTTGGATTTGTTAATGCAGATTTAGCTTATTATTTAAAGACAAATTAAACAGAAGAAAATAGAACACTGAATAGAATTTTATTGTTTTTCTTTTTAATTGTAGTAAATGCAAGAAATTAGAACAAACATTATAAATCAAGAATCAGCAAACTATACATTCATGGGCAAAATCCAGTCAACTACATGTATTTGGAAATAGTATTTTATTGAAATAAATCTCTATCCATTTTTTAATGTTTCTCTCTCTCTCTCTCTTTATATATATATATATATATATATATATATATATACACACACACACACACACACACACACACACTCACACATGTGTGAATATATATGTGTTTATATATGTTTGCTTTTTTGCTGCAACAGCAGAGTTGAATACTTATAATGAAAATCATATGGACAGCTAACCCTCAAATGTTTGCTCTTTGACATTTTATGGTAAAAGTTTGCCAATCTTTATTATTATGTCCTAGTTCCCCTACTTCACTTTACTAACACCCCTTCTTCCAATAAAAATTTAAATTTTCCTCTTGATCCTTCCAAAGCTTAATAGTTTGTAAATGTAATATCTAAAGATTAATGATTTTCCATTTAACTTCTATTTTCTATTTTGCATGATTTTTTGTGTAGTTTAGTTATGGTCAACTGATTTTCTAATGTGTTTTGTATAAGTTTTTGTGGAGAAATTGTGATTTTAATTTCATCTAAATACATAAAGTTGTTTTCACTTAATTTTCTTTGAATATTTTCTATCTTCAGTAACTAATTCACCTATGGATACAAAGAAAAAGTCAACTCTTCTTGCAGAAGGTAATAAGCTCTTTTAAAAAAAATCTAGGGGCTAATACTGAAGGGATGAACTGTTGAATATCCTTGGAAACATGGTTGATGGTCTGGTCTGATGATCAGCTTTGTGCTCAGTGATCTGAGTGTGATCTGAGTATGAGGGGCACTGGGTGACCCCGCTTGTCCTTCCCTGAAGGGTTCAATTCCATTTGGAGACTATGGAGCTTTCTTTTTCTTTCTTTTTTTTTTTTTAAAAGATTGATTGATTGATTGATTGATTGATTTATACAAGCATTGGATACAGTCAGAAGTGCAGGAAGGTGAGAGGATTCACCAGAGCCAGAGCGGGGAACAGAACAGGCAGACAGACAAAATACACTGCTGAGGGGAGCAGAGGGCGCAGCAGGACCCTCGCCCAGCGGCTGGGGAGCGAACCAGTGTTGCAGAGGCTGCAGGCAGCTTCACAGCCCGGCGCTCAACTGCTGAGCCACCAGGGGAGGCCCTATGGAGCTTTCTTGCTCAGGCACTGTGCTAAGTTTTAGGGGGGACTCAAAGATGAGCAAGGCAGTGAGAGGGCCCTCAGGGAGTGCAGCTTTGTGAGGAACTGAGACAGGAACACCAGAAACCAGAGGCAATAAGCCCTCCCATCCAGTGCACCAGGAGCACAGAGGATTGAGTGGCTAAGCACTGAGCCTCTGAGAAGGCTTTGCAGAGGCTGCAGCTTGTGAATTGGGACTTAAAGGCAAAGGGGCGTTTTAGTAGCTAGTGAGTCTTGCGTCGGTCACCCCAGACTGTGGGAACAGTATGAGGAGAAACACAGAAATGCAATTGTGGTTGGAGTATGGGGAAACTTAGTGGCAGATAAGATTGCCAAGGTGAGTCAATTTGAAAAAGGCTTGCAAAGCCAATGCAAAGACATTTAATTTTTTTCTTCATGCAGTGAGTGAATCACATCTGTGATGAAATGACATACTGGCTGCAAGTAAGATATGCATTGAAGAGAGGAGAGTTTTGGGACAGAGACAGAAGTTTGGAGGCAATTTAGTCTTTAGTATAGATGTGTGGTGATGGGGACATACATTAGGGTAGAGCAGTGAGATGAGAAATAAAATGTCCAAAAGTCAGTTAGGATTTGTCAGTGTCCATAAGGCTGGATGAGACTGGAAGATATCTGTAGACAAAGGAGATGTTGGAAACGGTGGCACTTTTGTACCAGTCCTTGGTGTCCATTGTGAAAAGAATTTCATGAAGCACCAGAATAAAGCAGCAACAAAGTTTACTAGGGAGCAAAAGTCAGCGCACAGAGGGGCAGTGGGCAGACCTCAGAAAGTAGAAAGCTGCTCTGAGCAATAAAACAGTAGAGATTTTAAGTTTTATTTTTCTTTCTGTTTGGTGAGGTATTCCCTTATGTATACCTGTTTCCATCATCTGTCTTCATTTCTGTACTAATTGGAACTTTGCCTCCCTCCTTCTTTTTAAATCAGGGAGAAGTCAAAAGACTCTTCCTAGGCCTCCCAGATCTTAGCTGGTCCTTGAAACAAAGCTATTGCCCCAGCTGGACCATAGGGTGGTAGAAGTGCAGCTGTGCTCCTCTGGAGGAGGGTATGAGAGCCCTTTTTTATTCCTCATACATGCAGAAAAGATGGGATATAATTATTGGTTCTCGAGCAAATATGAGAATCTACTCACTATCTTCTCAGTGAAGTAGGAGGTGAAATTGCCCAACTGATCACAAGAGTGTATGGAAAATATATTTGTTAGAAAGGTTCCCAATCCAGTGAGTGTGGGGAGTGGAAAAAAAAAAAAAAAAGAGCAGGATGAAGAAATGGTGAAGTAATAGAGTTAACATAAGAATTGTGGACATAGGTGAAGGGTGATTGACAGAATATCCCCAGTGCTTTGCATTCTCATTCTTGGAGTGACTTCTTTGGATCATGTGCCCCTGTTAAAATGCAAGTATTTATTTTATTAGCTAGTGCTTTCCTTTAAAAAAAAATACAGGCTAAGCTGCTCAGGATAAATATTAGACAAAGCATTGAATGCTTCTACTTATAAGCTAAAATTCAAACTCCAGAGAACACAAAAGAGCCTTCACAACTTGCTCCCTTGCCAGTTTTCTTATCTTCCTGGTTTTATTTTCAACTCTTTCCCACATACACATACATGCTTGCCCATACCCAGCTTCTAACTGTTCTCTTGCAAAAGATGTTTTTGCTTTCCTCTGAGCCTTTGCCCAGTTAAAGGCTCCCCTTGCAAGGGCATGCCATTTGAGTGTGAAAAGAGCACAGATTCAACTGCCCTCTCAGATCTGTTTTAAAGCTGCCCCTCTTCCTTGATCTAGTTATGTGATCTTTATTTGGTCATGAAATGCAAAGGCTTGACAATATCACAGAAGAGGCAGATGACATTAAAAGAGAGGAGAGATAGTAAATGCAGAGATAAGAAAATAAGCCTCATTCACATAAAAAAAACAAACAAACAAACAGTTGTAGCTGGTTCTGTTCATGTTGAAGTGAGGAAAGCAGTGTCAGCACCTCTGTTACAGGTGAGCTGCAAGAGATACACCTAATCACCTCTCAGCAACACCCTATCAGTCATGGACACGTGTCTGTTTAAGAGAAAGCATGAGCTACTTTGGATGACGCTCAGAGGTCTTTAGTTTTACTTTAAAATGTGAAAAAAGAGATCAATTTTATATTCAATCCTAATAATTACATTGACTATATGGAAACAAAATCTGTAAATAAAGTTCACAGCTGACCTATCTGGGAGCATAAGTGTGACAGAATAGGAAGGAAAGGAAACTCACTCAAAGGCCACATTTAATAATAATGCATTTTTGCAATTAAATTCATTTTTAACATAAAATGTACAGAGATAAACAATTCTTGCTGTTTGTTTTATATTTACATACCATACTACTTTTCCCAATAGAAGTAATACTCTTAATCACCTGTTAATATTGGGCACCATCATTTTGTACAATGGTCCATCTGAAAAATTACAGATTATTTAAAAATCTGTTGATTTCAATAATTTTGTGATACTTTGAATAAAAATAAAACAAAAAATTTTCCACTTGTTCAATCTTAATGTCCTCTTGGTTATTTTAAATAAAAGTGACATATACTTTCTACATCTATGCTTGCCTGAAATGTCACACATAGGGACAGGCATTTATCTCTTATGTTACTGATTTGCTTTACTTTCATAAAAACATAGGAGAGGAAAAGCATATCATTCATTTTTCTATTTTCTTTTCTGGGGAGCAAGAGTCATGTAATAAAGTAAGTAGGTAGAGGGCCTCCCTGGTGGCGCAGCAGTTGAGCGCTGGGTTGCGGAACTGCCCACAGCCTCGGCAGCGTTGGTTTGATCCCCGGCTGCTCCCTGGCCACCGGAGGAGGGTCCCACATGGTGCGCAGACCTCTCCTGCTGCCCGCTGCTCCCCTCAGCAGTGTACTTCGGTCCTCCTGCCTGCTCTGCTCCCTGCTCTGGCTCTGGTGAATTCTCTCACCCTCCCCGCTTCTGACTGTACCCAGTGTTTGTATAAATCAATCAATCAATCAATAAAAAAAAAAGTAGGTAGATTTAAAACATTGTCTTTGTCTTTTAATAGAATCCCATTTTCTCATTTGTTTATTTTATAGATATCAAATTTCCTGAATTGATTTCAAAATGCTTTAACAAATTTGTCAGATCTATAATAATGTTTTCTTTTTAAAAAAGATTTATTTTATTTATTTATGTATACAAGAACTGGAGTGTAGGCCAGAGGTTGAGACAATTCACCAGAGACAGAGTGGGGAGCAGAACAGGCAGAGCTAGATGACTGGATCAAGATGTGGTACATATACACAATGGACTATTACTCAGCAATCAAAAAAGATAAACTCATGCAATTTGCAGCAACATGGATGGAGCTGGAAGGGATCATGCTCAGTGAAATAAGCCAGAAAGAAAAAGAAAAATACCAGATGGTCTCACTCATAGCAGGAATTTAGAAAACCTAAATAAGGGACCAGGAAAAAGACTAATTATAATAAAGTAAAAGTCAAAATCAACAAGCAACTATAAACCAGAGATACACTACAGGGTAGGGGGAGGAGGGAGTAGGATGAAAACAAGGGGGGTGGGAATTGTATGGGGACTATAATCAAGATGAAAATGCATACATTGTGCAAAAATGAAAAATGATGTAAAAAATATATAAAATAAAAATGCTCAGAAAACAACAACAAAGAAATACACTGCTCAGAGGAACAGTGGGCAAGACAGGAGAGAACTGCTGTGCCATGTGGGTTAGCGACCTGACAGGATCAAACTCATACTGCTCTGGCTGGCAATGACTTGATAGTGCTGAGACTTTAACCCCTTTGCCACCAGGGAGGTCCAACAATGTTGTTCTCTTAATGATGCATAAATACAGGAGAAAATTAGTTAAATTTTGGATGTATTTAATACATTATGTATGTATATTATACACATATACACACATGCATATTTCATGAATATTACTTTCCTATGTAAATCTAATATTTCTGAAAGAAGATCACCAGCAATAATATTTGGTTCAACTTCATGAAATATACTATGGATAGATTTTATTTATTTATTTTTTTCAAGATTTATTTGTTTATGCATGTAAGAGCTGGGGTACAGGCCAGAGATGTGGGGAGTTGAAAGGATTTACCAGAGACAGAGTGGGGAACAGAACAGGCAGACTGACTGAAATACATTGCTGAGGGGAGCAGCAGGCAAGAGAGGAGAGGTCTGCTGCGCCATGTGGTTTCTCCCTGGCTGGCCGGGAATCTAATTCATGCTGCAGAGGTTGTGGATTGCTTCATAGTGCGGCGGTGCTTAACCCCTTGCTCCACCAGGGAGGCCTATGGATAGATTTTAAACAAGACGTTTTTTTCAAGCTTTTCTTTTATTATTCTCCTTTTGTGTGTGTGTTCAGTCAACACGCCCGAGCTTGTACAAGTGGACACAAAAGTGGTGCTCTCCTGTCCTTCTGTCCAGAGCAATTGTATGGTGGTATTAACATGGAAAATATCCCTCAGAGACAAGCTTACCTGCACCAAAGCCTACAGGCCAGATACAGAAGAGACCGTGGAAGGAAACTGTACTGACCGAAGAATAATCTGGGCCGACAGACCTGACCAGATCTATGTCCTTCAGATTGATCCAGTGTCCATCACTCATGATGGGAATTACACTTGTGAAGTGGTAACACATGAGGGGAATTTCCACCGTGGATATCATCTCCAAGTGTTAGGTAAGGAACATCACAAGCTGAGGTATTTCAAGTAGCCAGGTATGGGCTGAGACAAACATCTCTCTAAATTCCATGTCCCCTGTGTAAAGACTGAAGCATTTCCCCTTCTTCTCTGCAGTGCCCCCTGAGGTGACTCTGTTGCAAAATGAAAACAGAACTACGGTCTGCAAGGCAGTTGCAGGGAAGCCGGCAGCGCAGATCTCCTGGACCCCGGAGGGAGACTGTGTCACTGACAAAGAGCCTTGGGATAATGGCACTGTGACTGTCATTAGTACGTGCCACTGGGCAGAAAGGAATGTGTCTGCTGTGTCCTGCTCTGTCTCCCATTTCACTGGCAACAAGAGCCTGTCCATAGAGCTGTGTCGAGGTTAGTAATTTTATAGTTTTGTGTTCAATTTTCAATTCTTTCAGAGAAATTATCTTAAAAGAAATTTCTTTCAAGAATGTTATTTCTACCTTCTATTTTATCTCCCTCTTCTCCAAATAAAGAGATATGTCTAGAAGGAAAATACATACAAATTTGTTGTAAAAGTCATAAATTGTGGTTGTTCTACCTTTAAGGATTACTTCTGTGTAAATTGGTTTGACTAGTATACTTTTAAAGGAATACTTATGGTTTTACTGAATGATAAAGTTTTATTTAAACAAATAATTTGGTTCTAATTGAAAGATAAAGTTACCCATAAACCATCCCCTTGAATGCTTAGTCTGGTAGAAGCTTTTCCTCCAGGGTCTTTCAGTGAAATTTCTTAAATGTCTTATAATAAAATTTATGATTTGGTTGATCACCCTTTACTCTCTGCTCCCATCTTACTCTTATTTGTTGTTATTAAAAGTTAAATGTTATTTTAATCAACATAACAATTATAGTTGAAAGTCACTTTTGTCCTCTAATGCTATTTGAAAGACTTTACCCCTGGATCTGCCTCTCCATTCCTCCTCTCCAGCCTTAACTTGCCAGAAATAATCCTCAAGTGTTTTCACTAGTAGTTAACTCCCTTTTTTTATATGCAGCATATGCACTGCTATTTTTAATATATCCCATTTAGACATTATGTACCCACTCCCACTCATGGTAGATGAGGATTTAATTTAACTTCTTTTCTTCCTTCTTCCTTCCTATACAATAATATAGCAATTTTGATTAAATCACATAGTCAGTGTTTATATTATTTTTGAATAGGTAAGTTTTGTTTAATTGCTAAATCAAGAAAAAAAACTCATACTTTCCTTTTTAAATAATGTTTTGCTTTTCTGGAACTTAAAATTACTTGACTTTTTTGTTTCCTTAATAACATATGTACCATTGTTAATAACCACTACTAACCACCCTAAAGAAAGTAGAAAAACCCTTATAATCCTATTTTCCACTTGGTGAGAGTTGTTAGGTATCTGTCAGTTCCATTTTTCCCTTGAGATGGCCTCTCTTGAATGTTCACATGCTCTTGTTACAAGCCATCTGGTTGGTCACTAGACCATATTGCACCATATTGTCCTGGATGCTCTTTTCCTGTCTCCTCTGTGTGACCTGTCTCCTCTGTGTGACCTATGTTTACTTATTTCAATTGCTTATGCCTTTCAGAGATTTAAAGAAACTTTTAATTCTATGTCATGAAACTGTCTTTAGCTCTCAAGTACTCCTTGGCTAGCCTTTCATTTCAAAGTGAACACTCAGAAGTGATATGCTTGGAAGCCATGTTATCTGGGAGTGGGGGTGAGGGTGGGGGAGCTTGTCAATGTTATCTTGGATAGGTGAGAGCAGGTAATTTTTAATTGGAGGAATCCTTATTTCCTTACATAGTTCAAGGTTCTTTCTCTGAAACTGTTGAGGGTCTACAGAAAATAACTCTTTAATGGGGAAAGGAGGGAGAAAGGGAGAAAGAGAAGGACCAGACTATCTCTCTTCAGCAGGCACTTTACTCCACCCTCCACTATGTCTGGATGCCTGATTCTTAGATCTCCCCTGTCATCTCTCTGGGGGCATTTTTTGTTTTCTGCAGCCTGGAGAATGTGTAGTGAGTGATCTGGCCGCCAAAGGTGGGAGCAGCCAACCTGTTCTCAATACAGACTTTCAAAGAGCTCCTTTCACCCCACACCTCACCTCCCACACTCTCCTCTTTCTATATTGGCTCTTCCTACTCTAAAGTCTTCCTGGAGTGCTGTGAGCAGTAAGGACCTTATTTATACTCTTAATGATTTACATTTTTTCATTTTTCACCCCAAATCAGGGTAAAACCCTTTATCTAATCATCCTCATCCTTGTTCTCTTTGATTTTGCAAGGCTATACTTGAAAAAATTCTTTTCTGATACCTTTGTACATTTTCAGGAGGGAGAAGAGAAAACCCCATGAGTTTAAACCACCACTTTCCAATATTTCAATATCCATTTTAAAAGTGATATTTGTTAATTATAAAGAAAAGGGTTTACTGTTATTTACTGAGAAAAGTAATTGAGCTCTATTTATGTATGGAATTGGACCACCAGTATTACAGTGTGAAGATACATTGAGAGAATAATGTCAGAACTGACAGGAGTACCCAGTGCAGGAGTTTCTTCTACATCTTCCCTGCAGGGCAGACCTCAGCCTCTGCTGCCACAAGTCCGGCGAAAGAGAGTGCATTGGTTTGAAAGAGAGGGTTCAAAACAATCTTGTTTTCAATTATAAAATCAAAGTTCTTTTTTTTACAAATGAAATAGTGAGAAAGCTAATGTTTAAAAACAAACTGTGGAAGGAAGTTGGGGGATAGGACATCAGACTGCACAGCCTCCCCTTCCCTCTGCTGCTCTAGCCACATTCCGGGAGCACCAGGAACAATGTTTTAAGATACTGCTTCCCAAGGCTGGCGATCCTTTTCTGATGCCTCCTCTTGGAAGACTGAGCTTTTTGTTGCTGCCATGTATTCATTTAAGTTTCAATGTGCTGAAAGAAAGGTGATTTCAGAATTAAGGTTATTTTTCCAACTACTTTCCTGGCATTTTTCTATTTATTTCTGACCATTGGGGGTGAGAAACACAAATTTCACACCTCTCCTGTAGGAATGCTCCATTCATGAGTCCATTCATAAGTCAAAGTCCTGAAGATGATATCTTGCTAGAAACCCTAGAATCTGTAATTTGATTATAATATAGAGCAATTTTGTTATAACAATTATTTGAACTATTAATGCATCTGATATGTTTAAAATAAAATCACAGTTATGAATTTCAAGTACTGTGAGATAACCTTGAGGCATGAGTTTGTATATGTATTTTTTTGACACTTTTAAGAATATTTTTAGGTTTCCCATGTGATTGGCCCTAACATATGAACAGCTTCCCCTTCTATATACATCCCATGTAACAGAGAGGCACATTTGTTACAATCAGTGAACAGACATTAACACATCATATCACTCGAAGTCTGTAGTCTACATTAGGTTTCATGCAAGGTATGCATTCTATGAATTTTGACAAACATATAATGCCATGTATCCAGCATTGTAGTATAATAGAAGTTTCATTGCTTTAAATGTTCTCTATGCTCCACCTATTTATCCCTCCTTCCACCCTAACTTCTAGCAACCCCTGATATTTTTCCCTGTATCCTTACTTTTGCCTTTTCCAGATGTCAGTATACCTGGACTCATATACTACATAGCCTTTGAGATTGACTTCCTTCACTTAGTAATATGCATTCAAGCTTTTTTCATGCCTTGTCATAGTTTGATAGCTCATTTCTTTTTCTTACTAGATGTTACACAGTTGAACCACATATTTTTGTATCTATATTTACAGATGACATTAAAGCACCATTTCTACATTGGGTGTATATCATTCCCTCTGTTTTTATTTTCTTGAGCATTATGGGATCCATTTGGCTTTTGAAAATCAACTTCTGCAGGTATTGACTGATGTTTTTCTTCTTCACTTTTATGAGACTACACAGGTGTCAGAAATATGGAATTGACTGTCTGGGTCAAATTAGAAAGTTAACAACAGTTCTCCTACAATTAAGAAGCATATTCTAAAGTTGTTATACATATAATACTCTGAATGATGAGAGGGGTTTTGCTAGGTTACCTATGCAGATAAGCATAGTGAAGTAGGCCATTTAGGGCAGGATCTTGGGAGATAACAATGGATGCTAATTTCCTAATTTGGAAAAAATGTACAATAATTTATTTTGTTTGCCAAAGAAGAAGTATCACTTATATTTTGTTTCCTCAATTAGTTCCTGTTGTATAATTTCAGTTTCTTCTCCAAAATGCAGAGTTATATTACTAGGGTATATTAAGTACAAGCGGCATTCTTTGCTTAATTCTGGTGGTTCATTTCTGATTTATTATGATTTCTATCAAAATGAACCACCACTGTCAGTAGAATATTTTTTGTTTTTTACTTTCAATTTAAATAATGACATTTCCTGCATTTATTCCATCTTATTTTTTTTTCAGTAAATGTAAATTGAAAAAAAGAGAAGTTACTCTAGTTGGTGGGGAGGTAAGATAAAATTAAAAAGAATATTTTCAAACTTCTAAGCCACAAAGTCTGAAAATCTAACCATGTAATTTGTAATGTGCATTACTCTTAGTGATTTAGTTTAAAAATGAAAATTCTAATTTGATAATGTTAATTGTAAGATGTACTTAATTGGTCTATTATCAAGTACTATTTATACACCATATCAAGCCTATATTTTCATTTCATGAACTTCATCCTGCAAAATGCATATTTGCTTCTTAGACTGTAGTTTTTATAGAAACTGAAAATGGTGTTTCCTCCACATGAAACCATCTCTAACTCTTGATTTCACTTTTTCAATACCATTTGTCATTATTCTCTTATACGAGCTTAAAATCTACCCTACTCCTTAATTTCTTATTACCATTCGCTTACTAAATATTTGACCCTCTCCTTTGAAATACTTGTCGTATCACCTCATTGTTGTCAGTTTCCACTTTCACAAACCTTTATGACACCAAGATTTAAATAATCAATAAATATTTTAAATAAAATATTAGAAAATCTTGCTCTATGTTCATGTAAGCCAGAGAAACAAATATAAACACTATTGGAAAAATCCTAAAGCTGAGGCACCTGTTAGAAATATATGTCATTTCTGCATGACTTCTGGCTTATTGAATCAACTTTAACTTTGTGTTCTTTCTTAGGAAGAAATGCAGCCTTATGCCAGCTACACAGAGAAGAACAACCCACTCTATGATACTGCAAGCAGGGTGAAGACACCTTAGCTGTTACAAGTGTTACAAGTGAAACTGATGGGTGGGGTCAACATACTTAATAAGTTGCTGTAGTCTATCTTCAGGACAAATAACTCAAGATATAGCACAATTATTGTTTTGATTTTCTTAGAGTTCTGGAATGAACGACCTATTTTAAAATTAACATTTCAAAGATTCTTAGCAGACAGGGATATTTTAAAGGATTTGCATTCATATTCCTTTACAACTGAAATTTTAGACTCTTAAATGCTACTAGCTAGTTCTCTGAGGAACACATAATATTACAAAGAAAGCATATACCCATGATAAAATATTCAAATTGGTCAGTATATTAGGTAATAAAAACCAAGTTTCTTCAAGAAATAACTGTATAGGAGGAACAATCATTAACAATGTTATATATTTGTCCAGAAAATATCAATGTGCACATGGCATGTCTGCACACTTGTGGCACTTTTATATGTCTATTTATAGATTTATATACATGTTCTTGTCAAGACAAAAATGGGTCCATTTCCATGATGTTGTTCTATACTTATGGAAAGTTAATAATACAGTATATCTTGGAGATTTTTAATATTAACCCAGGCAGAGCTACCTCATTCTTTTTAATGGCCATGTAAAATTCCATTGTTTGGAATATGTCATAATTTAATTAATCACAACCCTGCTGGTGGACCTTCAGATTGTTTTATTGTTTGTTTTGCTATTATAACGTTAGTACATAGACTATTTCTTGTGAATTCCTCCTTATATTTATTTGTTATAGTTACGGAATGAATTTCCTTGAGTAGAATGCTAGGTCAGGGCCATCATGGTAGTGCAAGTGGTTGAGCACAGCACAGTGCAAGGGGTTGAGCATGGCACAGCAGACCTCTCCTATCTCACCCCTTACTCCCCTCAGCAGTGTATTTCACAGATCTGCCTATTCTGTTCCCCACTCTGTCTCTGGTAAATCCTCTTGTGACAGGGCAACCCCCATATAAAATGGGTTGCCTGACTGTGGGTCCTCACCCATGTGCTTAAAGGAGATTTAAACTGCAGGCACACACAAAAGATTAATAAAAGGTTTATTTACAAGGAAAAGGGAAATGTGGAAATGAACAACTCAGGGAGAAAAAGAGGGAGATAAATTCTTAAATGTATCCTACCCATTCTGCTGACCTGGAATCCCAAATGACCCGCTGAGACCAAATGCTGCCTAGCCAAGAGCATGAGCCAAGAGAGGAAGACCCATTCACATGGCTGGTTATAAACACAAGCCTGAGAAAATGGCAGCTTAACTCCACCCTTAGGTCCTCATAACCTCCCTTTGGGGATCATGGGATTTGTAGTTCCCAGTGTCTTGATGGAGTGGGGGTGGAGTCCACAAAGCCTGTATGGAGTTTGTGCAGGACATCCTTTCCCCCTAACACTCTCACCTCCCTATCCTCCACACCTCTGGCCTGTACCCCAGTTCTTGTATGCATAAATAAATATTTTTTTTAAAAGAATGCTAGGTCAAAATGTACATTTTTATTATTGATTGACATGTCAAATTGTATCACTTTACATTCCCTCCTACCATATTTGAATTTGCCTTTTCTTATTGATGAGAAAATACATTATTGAGCAAATAAATATAATGAAGATTCAAGCCCAACTTCCAGCCCGAACTTCCAGCCCAGGTGCAATGAACACTCTAATGCAGGCATAATCAAAAAGTTTGCTTACTTACAGCTCTTTCCCTTTTCTAAGCAAAATTGCATTTCAAAAGGGTTGGGTAGCCAGTCAAGCTGGTCTTACTCTCCAGGGCCATCTCTGGATGCCTGCATCTTTCCCCCTTTGCTTGTCCTCTGTACCCCTACCCCCACCCCGGGGACTTTGCAGCAAATGGTTGTGCCTGATGAAAAAAAATGCTATCAATGTAACAAATATGAAGATAGTTATGTATTAAAGAAACCCTTTGTCTTTAAACCAGTGCTCAGACCTTATGGGGCTACCCAGGCCTGGGACCTTATGCGTGAGTAATAAATCTTTTCCTGACCTCACCATTCCTGAAGTACCACTTGTTCTTCCTCTGCCTGGGTAAAAGTCTAGAATTTCTACAACATTATAATGCTATTTTAATATCTGCAGGATGCCCATTCCTGTTTCTAATCAAACTGTTCTGTAACATGATGTAAGCTTATAATAATTACTATCTAATAAAACTGTGTTTATAGTTTTCTGTCATGTTTAAATGAGAGGAGAGAGAGAGATCAAGAGAGAAACAGGTTGAGCATGTTAGCTTCTTCTAAACTCCTATCTTTACAGAGGAATTGATATCATAGGGGAGGAAAATCTGCCAGCCCTAAAATATGTATTTTTGACAAAAGATTGATCATGGAAGAGGCTCTGTAAGCTGGGTGGAAGTTGCTTTTGAAAAAGAAATTTAGATCTAAGGGTGTCTCCCTCACTTTACTGGAAAACCTACTCTATCTCTCCTCAATGGAAGGAATGAGTTAAATCTTCATAACCTTTGTTTATTGTGCTTCCCTTGGTAAACTCCCTGACTGACCTTCCCCTTCCCACCCACCAACTGAAGCAATTTGAGTTACTCAATCATGCTGTGTCTCTCTCATGTATACAGGAGGTATACATATTATTATCAATTTTTTTAATCTTTTATCAGTTTGTCTGATTTTTGTTTGATTATTTGCCAATCTAGAGGGGTACAAGATGATTTCTTTTCACCCCAACAATATCTAATACTTAACATTTGTAGCTTTGAAAATTGTGTACATTTTTATGGTACATAAAAGGAAGGATATTTGTGGTGATGTATTTATCAAATAACAGATGTCTATACATGCAGCTAAATTGAATAATGGAGTACTTAGAAAAGTATGAAATACGGTCGATGAGAAAAGGAATGGCCATGGAATGACATGAACCTCCTCTCCATTTTTTTTTTTTTTTGTAGATTCAAATTCTGGGAACATGGTATTAATCATATTATGTTGATAATATTATAAAATGTGTTTTATGAAAAAAATCTATGCTGCATCTCCATAGCAAAAAACATTTTTTATCATAGTAGAAATTAAAACAAAAGCATTCTTTCTTCAATTATGCCATTTGAAACATTAAATATAACAATTTTGTCTTATTAATGTTTTTGTCACTCTAGACCTTTTGATTATTCTAGGCTTTATCCTAGAGGATTTTTAGTCTGTTATTGGATATAAAACTAAGATAATGATTGTAGGGTCAGGAAGGACCACAGTGCAGGTTTTTTGATCCAGCGGACCAGGTAAAGGAGGAGTCCTGGAGCCCTCAGTGGTTTTTGCAGGTCTTTTGTTGGGATTTACCCAGTACACAGCAGGCAAAGGTGCTGGGGGGCTGGCAGGCCTCCCAGCCCCCAGCAAGTCTTCACTCTTTCTGGGCTCTCCGGTGTTCTCTCTGCTTCTCTGCTCTCGACTTCTGTTGGGCTGCTTCTGCTTCTCTTGCGTCTCTCTTGGCTTCTGTTTGTTCTTGGCTTCTTCTGGTGGCATCCCCGTGACACCACCCTTAAAAAGCACAGTCTTAGCCCAGGTGAATCCTATCTACATCTGCCCACACCCTATTCCAGGTGCCTGCCATCAGGCATGCATTCAGGACTGCAAGGATCCATCATCCATCCTGATGGCAGGAGGGCAGAAAAGCCTGACATTTTCCCCTTACCCTACAATGATGCTTGACACCTGATACTTGAGCAAAATTTCTTGGCACCATTTTAATTAAGCCAAAAATAAAACCAGTTTCACCCTATAAATATTCCCAAGCAGTGTGCTCCATATATAACATAATCCTGTTCTTGATCTTTTCAGAATTCTTTATCCATGTCTGGTTGGAATGAGGCTCATAGTTTAAGAAAAGTCTGTTTAAATGTTATTGAAAAATGAAACTGTTTACATCTTAATGTCAAAAGAGCTCTGGTAAATGACACCATAGTAAAGACTTCAAGATAGTTTCTAAATGCTAAATTATATTTTACAGAAAACAAATGTATTAAACGCTTCCACTATAGGGGTGCTAAATGCGATCGAATATCAGAATCATTGGGGAACTGAAAAATTATATTGACTTTCCAAGTACACTTTAGAGCTACTGAATTAGAAAATCTAGAGATTGGATCAGGTGTATCAGTTAGGTCCTTCAAGAAGCAGAGGCTGAGATGGTGTTAGGAACCATTAAAATTAATTGCCTAGAGGTCACAGCTGTGAAAGATTAAAAGGGCAGGAAACAGGATAAGGGAGGGAAAGCCTTGAGGCCATGATGCTGATCTGAATGATACCTGTGGAAGGAAAGAGGAGGAAGCCAGACAGAAGAGGTAGAGCATCTTGATACATCACTACCAAAGTTTTGGCCCAAGCACAAACCTTGAAGCAAAGATTGCTTCTAAGAAATCTTCCATGAGCAGAAATGGCCAAGCCCTGATAACCCTTCAAGTTTAGTCACATTAATCCTTCCAGATTAATGAAAATCCTTTTATTCTGATGGGAAATCTGAACAGTTCACTTTCTTCCTTAGCCTCTAGGTCCATCTTTTTACTGGTTAGTATTTGCCTGGTATATCCTTGTTTCTCTATTCTCAGCTTCTCTATGACATTTTATTTTAGGCATATCTTTTATAAAGAAAATATTTTTAAAATAAAAAGATATAGTCAAGTTTTATCAACTCTTTAAGGATTTTTAATAAAATTTTTAATAAAACTTATACATACCTACCATAATTTTTAAGGGGATAAAGGGATCCTGAGGCTAAAAAGTCTGAGAATTGCCATTTCAGCTGATGAGAAATACATATTAGTGCCACTTAAGATTGGATTAGCTTTAAATTTGGGAACATTGTTTTAGAAAATTATGTAAAGTTATGAACTGTGAAAAAAATTAACAAGAGTGCATTAATTATAACTTTTGGTTTATTTGAATTGGCTGCAAATTACTAAGTTCCTGGCAGTGGTTAGACTATGAAAATGTTCATGTGACTTGATGGTTAAGACTCAGTTGCTTAAGTGCATAGCTTGCTCTTGCTCTGTTTTTGCTAGTTATATAAATAAAGTGATTTCTGACCCTCTCCCTCATAATTAGCACAAGCACTACTTTGGTTTTTTGTTGACTATTAATTTACACTCCCTCCAACCTTAACAAACTGCCTTTCAGAGAAACACCATATGTCAAGCCAACCAGTCTGTGGTCTTTATTTCGGCTGCCCTAGCCTGCTAGTGACTGTGGGACTTGAGCTAATCTGCCTTGAGATGGATCATGTTTGATGTAAATATTTTTTCTATTTTTAGCTTAAATAAACATTTGAAGTATTCTACTTAACTCACTTATTGTTCCTGTTTTCCAAATCAAAATGCTGATTGTATCTTTCTCTGGGGCTTTTCAAGTCTCCTACTAGTTTTTCAAGATACCTTTCTAAAATAATTTTGCCAAATATGTTATGAATCAGCACTATCATTTATTGTGGCATGTTTGTGAGAGATACCTTAGGTATATATTTTTCTCTTTAGTTTTTGTAATTTTAAATAATGACATTTTATTTTGATGAAAATGAAACATGCTTCTTACAAGATCTTCAAACAATACATTATGCTTAAAATTCTAGCACCCAACAGCTCTCCTGCCCACCTGTGACTATGCAGGTTGATTCTTTTTCACAAACAGGTCCCTTTCAGGAGCAGTTCTTTCTGCCCGCTTGCCCCTTGCAAGTGCCCTTTAATTTGCTTCTCCTTTTAAACAATAAACCTGCCCCTTTTGGATGTAAAAAAAAAATTCTACCACCCAGAAACACCGTTAACATTAGCTGAATACTTCTCTTTGAATATATATCAAAAGAAGAAAAGACAAAAGTTATTTCACAAGAATGGTTTCATATAAACATGTTACTTTAAATAAAAAGTATTACATTTATTGTTACTTAATTTTAAGCAGGAGAAACAGAAGCATTTACTAGATTTGAGATAAAAATGCTTGACTATGTACAACACCAAGAGTGAATATTAATGTAAGCTATTGACTTTGAGTGATAAGGATGCGTTAATGTTGGTTCATCAGTGGTAGTAGATATAACTTATTGATAGGGATGTTGAAAATGAGGTAAGGTATTCATGAGTAGGACAGGATATGTACTTTCTACTTAGTTTTGCCGTGATCCTGCTCTAAAAAATACAATCAACATATATTAAAAATTGATCTACTAGAAGCAGTATTTATCATATTGAGGTATATAATACATTCAACAAACTAAAAAAAAAAAAAAACCCAAAAAACCAACAAAAACCAAAACCACAGCATGCCAAGTAGAGAAAGAAAACCTGCACACAACTGTGTATTCCAATGAGTTTGGCCTGCTACCCCTACATTTTGTTGAAAAAGTTTCTTTATGAGAAGAGACTAATTTGAAAAGGAGATCTAATATAGTGAACAATATTATAGGATGATGTAACCATATTTCCAATACTATTTTTCAGTGTCACATAGTATCTTTTGATTCCTTATCATGAAAGATCAAGAAATCAACAACTTTACACTTTCTTGAGCCATCTTTCCTCTCACTTTCCAATTTGTTTCTTATATAGGATTTTTAACATTTTGGAGGCTTAAAATATTTGCATTCTGTTTATATTAATCCTCTTATATATTTAGTCTTAACTGTATGTTAAAATGGATTTATTGTTCAGCAACAGTTATGATTTGTTTTCATTGATATCGTATTTGGTGTGATATCATTATTTATTGTTTTTGCATTTGTATTACAACCAGTAGAGTATTAGAGGGAAGAGGAAAGATCAAAATAATGATACTTTGTGTCTGTGTTTTAATTCTCTCCTGTCATCTTTGCTTCAGAACTCCTTATAAGAAGAAATAATAACCATTGTCGCTCACTATCACCCAGACTGTCTACCTCTCTTTGTCATTCTACTCACTGTGATAGGATCTGTTATCTGACAATGTAATCATGGAGTTATTTTAGGAATAAAACAAAAATCTTATCAAAATCATCCAGAAAACAGTGATTAAATAATATATTGCTAAAATATAAGAAAAGATTTTTAAACTGTAGCATTCAAAATAACCAACTACCTTCTCTGTGATTCAGATGAAAAATAAACAAAAAAAAAGTTTATTCTAAGCCTTGATGTTTATGATAAGTACAATTGACCACACTGTGGGACCACATTGT